AATCCCTCTGTTGTGGGGCCATCAGGAATTACCTCAACTAATTTTGTAGACTCCTACATTGGTCGGTTCAGGATTTGTAAGGGGGGCCAGACTTGAGAGTCAAGCCCTTAACGGGCTGTAGAGATTAGGATTGGGGCTTACGATGTATACAGTCTACAGGGTTCACTGTTTAGGCTCTGGTTGTGCACTTTGGGTCATTGGAGCTTTGCAAAGTGGGCCCGTTCCTAGTGAAGTTGAAACAGGCCGTGTAATAATGAAAGATCTACACCGCTGCATCCCAACATCCCCAGACCCCGAAACAGCAAAAGATAACACCAAACCCCGACAACTTCTGCTTTTCTCCTTGGCGCCCAGGGCATCACCAGCCCAGCCACGCGCGGCTGACTCAAGAAAACGACGGGGCTCTTTGCCTGAGGATGATACCGGATTGCAATCGGGATCTGAGTTTAGGGTTTAGGGTTACTGTGAGGGCCCTGATGGTCAGAATTGGTGGCTGGTTGTCTGATAGTACAATTCTAATCAAGAACCTTCAGGAAGAGTGTTGCTGCTAAGTATTCAGGCTTCATGTCTTACTATACAATATACTATCATATACCATTGTATACCCTAATATACTATCATATACCATAACATACCATAATGTACTATCATATATCATAATATACCATAATATACCATCATATACCATAGCGTGCCCTAATATACTATCATATACTATCATATACCATAATATACCATGATATACCACAACATTCTGTAATGTTAGTTCCAAGGAAGAGATACTCTCACGAGGATCCCCGGCCCTGGTCCCAGAGTGCTGCATTGACAACTCTCAGCCACGGGGCTTTAGTTCCTGGAGTTGGCCTTTAACATTACGACAATGCATGAGGGTGGGGTGGGGTGATGGTGTATCCATGTTGTACATACTTAGGTCTATATGGCAGCTTTTGGGCCCGTGTGTACACAGTATTTAAAGGTACAGGATTCAGTATCGAGGGGCTAGAGTTCTGGGCTTTTTGGGCCTCGTGTTTCTAACGGCTTGTGGGGTTTGTGGTTCGGGGTATGGGGACAAGGAATCGTTGGAGTCCAGAGGGAACGCAAAACCCACGCACCTCGCCTGGAATCTTTGCCAAGACCTGCAGCAGCCGACGCACCTCCGAGGGTCTCTTGTGGGCCTCGTGCACGCTACGCGTGGCTCTGCCACAAGAGGCTAGGGCAAGGGGGGTGGGTACCAATGTGACAAAAGGAGGCGCCCAGCACCGACGTGAACCCCAAAGCCCTGAACCATAAGCCCGAAAGTATGGCGTTGAGCAGCCAAATGTGCAATGTTCTGAACGGTAACTCGAGTTGCTGTTTCCTTGGATGCTTTCCTCCTGCCAGATTGAGCATCAACCCAGAATTCCTAAACTAAACCTCAAACCCTGCGGAAACACACGACAGCTTCTATCCTAAACCAAAACTTCTTCGATGTGTGGCTTGCCTGTGAGCTCATACCTTAACACTCAACGAAAAACCTGTAGCTCACACCCTGCGCCCAAAACAATGGGAAACCTCCTACGAGTTGTCACAGAAGTGTAGTGACCCTGAACCCTAAACCCTACTGAGCCAGGAAAAATAGTGTGGAACTCATATAGGGGCCTTCATAATCAATCAGGCTGGAGTTTGGGGCTATCATGTTCTACCCTATTCTAATATTTAGAATAGAGTTTGGTGGTGCATACTGGTATTAAGGGCATTATTTTGAATGCTATCCTCAACGCTGCAACTCCACCGACGACCTCCGTGCGTCGCGCCTCGGCAGCCTGCACCAAGATGCCCACGCTGTGAGACAGCACCTGGGAGGACCTTGAGGAAGACTTTAGGGTTTATAAGGTAGGAGCTAAAGCTGTATATAGGGGGTTTAGCAGTTCTTCGTCGGTTATGGGCTTAAGATTCTCCAAGCGTTTAGGTGCAACAAACCTTCAGTTGGTTTGGTGTTGGTTTAGTGCCCCTCAGGGTCCACCAACTTATGTCCATATACGGCTGAGGTTCGGCGATTAGGTTTAGGCACATGTACTTCTCTGTATACTTATATGCACACAAATCTCTGTCTCTCTCTCTCTCTCTCTCCCTCTCTCTCTCTCGTTCTTGAGCTTCCTTATTTGCATATCTCTCTCTCTCCCTCTCTCCCTCTGTCCATCTCTTGCTCTCTCTCAATCTATCTATCTCTCTCTCTCTCTCGATACTTGCTGTTACTTGCACCTCTCTCTCGCTCTCTATCTCTCTCTTTCTCTTGTGTTGGTGGCACCTATAGAATCTATCGCTCTCTCTCTCTCTCTCTGCCTATGTAGTCCTTCCATTCCCTGAACCAAGAACCCCCAAAAAGCAACCAATGAAAAATGCAAACCAACAAACTCTTGCTAAATGTGCCGAGCCTGCCATTGTGGAGGAAGGCAACTGAACGGGCGATGCTGAGCAAAGCCTGTCGGAGGTATTCACAGCAATTCTACAGGGCCCATAACCCCAAGCCTTTCCATGCTGTAACTAAGGTACCGCACTGAAAATCCGACACTTGCCATCACAGGGACCCCCCTAAACCCCTAAACCCCAAACCCCTAAACCCTACTTCGAAGAACTTGCCTTCGATGTGCAGGATTCATGAGGGGCGTTCGGGCGGAAGGCTTTTTCAGGTTCCCTGTTGGGCCCACATTAAAAATGATCATTTTCAATCCTTATTGGTTTGGGGCTTAGGGTTTAGTGCTTATTGTAGCAAAAATGTAACATTGTATCCAACAAACACCCAGTTTTTGGGGGTTTACGATCCAAGGGCACAGGGCTTCAGCAAAGGATCGTTGTGGCGCTAGCATGGGACCCGAGCCGGAAGCTACAAAAGCTGTCTTCTTCCTGGGTTTAGGGCTTAGGGTTCAGGGTTTAGGGTCTAGGGTTCAGGGTTTACGGTTTACCTTCAGTTTGTGGCTGTGGCCCATTTCAACTAAAACAACCAAACCGCAAATGGCAGTACCTACTGCAACCGCTTTCGTCCCCAACAAGTGCCTCTGTCCCCAACCCACTCAGCAAGTCGAGTCCGAACACAACCGAACTGCAAACATCCTGCACTTTGCACACGGAACAGCCTTCCTGCTGCCCTCCGCTGGAGATCCGTTCAAAATCCTAGACAAGAATCGGGACCAGAGATCAGCGTGACATAATCCGACATTGATGGTGACATGTAACATGGGGGGGCTGTTGCGGATGCCTCCAAGTCGACTCCTTCAGCGAGCACCCGCGCCAAGTGTGCACCCAACGCCTTTCGGAGAAAAGGCCGATGCTTGCAACCCTCAGAGTCATAAAAGGCTCCATTGATAGGGGATCCTAAACAAAAAGGATCTCTTTCCATTCCTCAGGAGGCAATCTCGCAAGCTCGACCCCTGATAGTGTCCAAATGCGCAGCAGTCATGCACATGGACTCACTCCAAAACATCCAATTGCAGCAGCCTCATGACCCCAAATGCAGCAGAGTTTGCATGCCTGCAAGCACAAAACCCGAAACAATGTTGCAGAACTCACATGCGCCTGTTGTACCTCCTCCGGAGACGTGCGGACGCTCGCACAACCTCAAGAACACCATAAGTTGCTGTTTCGCCTTAGACCTGAGTGTAGGGCATGAAAGCAGCTTTAAAGGCCCAAACAGGGCAATAAACTTCTTGACTTAGTCTTCATTGTTTACACATCACTGTCTGTATATGACTGTATGGGTTGGTCCTGCGAACACATCCGTGTATCTGCAGCAGGTTTGCTTCATGTGCTTAATACCGTCCTATCACCGAGATGCATGGCCTGGAACAGATGTATCCTCAAACCTACAGCCAAGGATGAGCACACACCTGAAGCCGTAAGCCCAAATGCCTCTACCACATGTCCAAGTGAAACGACAAGGAATCTTACGGGGTAGGTGAATACCAGAGCGATAGGGGGAAGAACGCTCTGCCTGAACCTTACCATTGGGTTTCTGGCATGCAGCCACATGTAATTAGGGCATAGGTTTACCCTGCGGCCAAGGGTCCAAGTAGGTATTACTTACAAACTTTAGAGCCCAAAGCTCTTCGCGCCGCGTGGAGGTTAGGGTGTTGGGTCCCCCGCACCCCTCCAGTTTCCAGTTGGCTTGCCGCCATGTCCTTCTGTTGAAGCACAATGCGCGTTGTAGCGGGATACTGTTCCTTAAGCGCCCCGAAACTCTCATGAACCTCTATAGCTGGACACTGCTCCTGAAACCCGAAACCAAGCCCTTCATTTGTTTAATTCGTCACCAACCCTAAACCCTAATAACCCGAATTCGGCAGTCAGGGCCCTGATTGCAGCCCGGAGGCTGGCCAGGAGACGCTGCAGCTCCAGCGACGACAGCTCCTCTGACATAAAAGGCGCAGTTCCATGAAACATCACGGGTTTCGGGGTTTAGGGTTTAGGGGTTTAGGGCTTAGGGGTTTAGAGGTTTAGAGTTGGGTCTAGGGTTTAGGGGTTTAGCGTTTAGAGTTTAGGGTTTGTTTAGTATAGGGTTTAAGGTTTAGGGATTTAGGGTTTAGGGATCATAGGCGTCGCGGCTCGAGCACTATTGGTCCCTCGGGTCCTTAGGGTATTCCCGGCCCCAGCGCTCTCGCCATAGAGCGCGCTTGCCTTCTCCTTCCTGCGGAGGGGCGTGGTGGACACAGTTTCTACTTTGCCAGGGGCGGCCCTGGCTTTCGGTGGCCTGAGCCACCTACTGGATTCTGCTTCTGGGCAGGTCTGGTCTTCCTCACGGAGTACGCTGCCTCCGGCCGTCCTCTGTTGAGAGGTTATTCTCCACCACATATCAGAGCACGCTGCCTTCGGCCGTCCTCTGGTTGTGGGTAATCATATACATGGGCAAGAGCCAACCTTATCTGCTGGTTGGTCTCTTGTTTCTATTTGGGATATTTCTTGTGTGGATTGGGGGTGCACCCCACCATTCGGCGCCCTCGCAGCCCCGGTTGGCATCGGCGCGCGAGGCGCCGACGAAGCAAAGCCAGGCAGCGGTGTCGCAGGTCCAGTGGCTCAGCAGCGGATTTAGCTCTGCTTCGATCGCATCACGGGAGCATGACGCCCAAGCCTGCCCCGAAATCGACTGGGAAAGGTACCAAGACTGGCAGTGGGGATACTCCAAAGGCTCCCAAGTCGCATGTGGAATTTGGACTACCTCCAGCTGTCGTCACTTCTCTGCAAGCGATTACGTCTCGAGCCACTCAAGGATTATGGCATTCAGACCAGCCTGCGACTGGCGAAGTGACGGCGGAACAACAAGCTCAACGCCGGGCCAATCTGATCCGGACCCTGTCGCGACGAATTACAGGCAATGTCAAAGCCAAAACGGAGCTCAAGGATGCCTTGAACCAATGGTTTATTCAGTTGTCCCAACATTTACAGGGACTCACTGCTCGGGTATCCGCCATCGGGCAAAAGATCGACGAGGACCTGCAAAGTGCCTGCGACGACATGCTTGCGGGCTTGGAGGCTCGCAGCTCCTTGTCAACGGCCGATCAGGTTTCGCATGTGCGGTCTTCCTTGGGACCAGTATGGCAACCGCCCCAGGAGACGGCTATCCTGGAGCTTGCGGCAGGCCTTCGAGCCTTGGGCACGGTGGCACTGCCGGCACAGTCGGCTGTGGGCACGCTTTCAGCCCCTGGCAGACAGCTTGGACCGTTCATACCTGGACATGCGGGCCCTCTATGTGGCGACGGCGGCACGGGATCGGAGGTGAGCTTTGGAGCTGGCTTGCTGGAGGCCGCAGCGGATGTCCCCATGCACGCAGCCGAACCAGTTGCGGAGACACCGCGACCTACCCGCTGGAAGCGACGGAGTGGCGGACATACGCATCGTCCGTCGAAAAGCCCACGCAGAGAACAGCAGCACCTTGGCCCTCTATGTCCACGGGCTTCACTCCCGAGAACATACGGCCTGTGGCGAGCACCGAGATGACCACGGACAGTCCCATCACCCCAGCGGGGGACAGGCAACCGAGCCTAGATTGGCCGGCGGCGTGGGCCAAGCTTGCGGAGTTTGCTGCGGAAAATGGTGCCGACATCATTGGGGAACTGTGCGTCTCACCCGAACAGGACGCGGCTATCCCTCTTGTGCACAATGTCGATGTGGAAGAGGACACAGTTTCCACTTCCAACGAGGCATGGGCAGCAGTGCTTGCATTTGTCGGGACGCCAGATCCGGCGATGGTGCCGGCTATGTGTGGCAGAATGCAGGATGTTCTCAACCGCCTCAGGCTTTGCCCCACTGCGCTTCCGCGAGTTCGTCAGGGCTTGGTTCTCCTAGCTCAGGCGACATTGGGCAACGTCCTCGACCCGTTCAGCTTCGCACCGGCCACATGCCAGGAATGGCTTTACCCAGCAGCCTTGCTGGAACATGGGACCCCTTTACGCGGGTACTTGGCCTCTTCTGCTTCGTCGTCATCTGTGGTGCAGGTTTTGCTCTCGCAGGGATGCCCGATGGCCCAGATTGGAGAAGACGACGCAGACATCAGCGAGCTCCTTTGAAACCACGTGGTTGTGCCACACTCATGTACATAGGCGCTCTTTTCAGCTCCAGTGTACATAGCTGTAGGCGAGCGCGCGACTCCTGTCCTCTTCCATGTCGCTTGATCTTGGCCACTGTCGCTCGTTGGGGAGCACTTGCGAACGGGGTAGCTGGAGCCGTCCGAGACGTGAAGCCTTGTGTCCAGGAACCGCTGTTTGGCGGCCGTCACCTAAGGTGTTGCCGCTCGAACCGGGCTAGACGCCAGGACGGAGCTCACCGCCCTTCCAGCAGAACAGCCTTTGTGTTCATCTGGCTCATATGTACTCCCACCACCGGTGCGGTGCAGATTTGGCAGCATGGAGTTATGGCAGGACAGCCTGTGTTCACTACGGGCGGGGTACCTGCTGCGCATTCCGCCAGTGATCTAGGACCTGTGCAGTCCCCCGACACCCCGTGTGTTTCCCCATTTGCGTATCGTAATACGTATCCTCTACGGACGGTAGGGGTGTTCCAGCCGAACTGCCCGGAACAGCCCACCATTCTTCAGGCTGACATCCGTATGCAAGGTCCACTATTTGAGCTTATGCTGTGTCGGGCCTTGGGCCTTCAGCGTAGCGAGTGGAATGTGCGCCGGCTCTCGTCGTCCCTCCCGTCTTTGCCCACTGAGAAATATGTTTTGTCACCTGTCTCTCAGGCCTGGTTCCTGGTGCATGTTCCGGTCGATCTCAGGCCACTCGGTGGCGCGATATGCATGGTCGAGGCCTGTAGGTGGGCGCCGTGTGGTGACGCGGCGGTTCTGGCAGTTCACGCCGCCAACATACACTTTCAGGGGGGTTTTGTGTGCCGCACTTCACAAGGGTGGTTTACCTCTGATGCCTTGTTGGGGTTATTGCCACATGGTGATGCATTTCAGGTATGGCCCATTAATCAGGTCCCGTTGCCGATGTCTGGCGCTGGGGATCGCTCCTTGTCGCTCTCCGGTTCCTTTGTTGACAGGTTTGGCACCAGCTTGAGTTACCCTGCCCCTGAGGAACTTGCTTACCATGAGCTCAGCGGTGCCAATGCGGTTGTTCTGCAGCCCCACGGCTTTGTATACCTAGGGGTTCCCTCCTTTGCCGATGAAGGTGTAATCCGCCAGGCTGCACTTGCATCAGTTCATCATGCGAGACAAACAGCTGAGCCAGCATATTGCATACGTGTTATGCCGCCTTTAGACTGCCTCCCGGCAATCCAATTTGTTGTGACGGACACACAAGATGGAATGGTACCGGGTCTTGTCGACCTGCGGCCTGTCCATGGCGGCATAGCGGTCATAGAGGTAGCTCCGCATACCACTCCAGTTGAAAGGATTGCAGTCGCTGTTCGCCGTTATGGGGAACCTGTCGCAGCTAGGCCTCTTCACATGCAACTTGCCAGAGGACATGCACATGTGCTCCACCGTGGTTATGTTGTTGATGCCAATACGCCGCTCCATGTTGAGCTTCCGGCGGCTCTCAGCAACCCTCAACCCCAGGTGGTGTTTCTGACGCAGATGCCCACACTCTGCCGCGGCCGCCTGAGCCAGGGTCCTCCCAGGCGCAATCGTCCAGTGCTCCACATGGTCATTTTCTTGGCATAGTAGTACTTAGATGGGCTGGTGGTTTGGT